AAAAAAAAAAAAGCATATCTGATTTGACTCCACTGTGCAGCAAATCTCAGAATCAGATTTCATAACGAGTAGTAGATATTGCACTAAAAATAAAAAAAAAAAAGCATATCTGATTTGACTCCACTGTGCAGCAAATCTCAGAATCAGATTTCATAACGAGTAGTAGATATTGCACTAAAAATAAAACAGGTAAGGTTTTGCAAGGCCAGAGCAGAAAACTCATCAGTTACTCTGAGTACCTGTCTGCACCAAAATACAAACTGCTGCAGCTGTGGGCCCTTCATTCTATGCGTCAGACATTTAAGCACTGAATTTTAGAAGCACTGAACAACTGCCACGGGCAACAAAGCAGTAAATCCATAATAGAACTTCTCTGTTCTTCTCATAAACAGGAGTCAATAGTTTGTTGAAAGATGGCTTTAGGGAGGACAGAGAGAACAAAGGAAATGAGCAACTTGTCTGTCGTTCATGAATTACACTCACGTGTTTCCCTGAAAGAAAACAGTCACTCCACTAATAGGTGACATTCTTCTAGTCTGTCATAAAACAAAGCATAATTGACAAAACCTGAGGCAATAACCAGGCCTTGGGTTTTACTTTGTTCTGCAAGTAAACGCTTTTCTTTGAACTGTTTAATCCGTGTTTAATCCATGTATGCATGTCAGTGTTTTCTTCCCCTCCTCATGCTGGAACTGAAGCTCTGCGCTGTACTTATGTACATTTTTGGGAATTACTATTCAAAGCAAGTAAAAATGTGTAGGCAGGCATTAGGCCATTTCTTTGGTTCCGTGTGAAACTAATTCCAGTCAAGCCAGATTCGGTCTTTACTGCACTTCTAACTTCAATGATTAACGACCAATCTGACTGGCACCCTTTCCTTCAGCTGAAAAGACTCTCTAAGGAGCTCTCAAGAAGCTGAAAGTGCTCAACACCAAAGGTCTCCCTCCTACCAAGCCAATCCTAATTCTATGTTTCCCCAAAGTCTGATGGAACTACCACTTAAACAAGCTTGCTTACCAAAAACATTTAAAAATAGTATTGCTAACAGCCATGATCTATTTAGGTCTAAGTCAGTGGTGGCCTAAGTACTCGCCATGTGCCAAGAGCCTCACTGGATGTTTCATCTGCATCCGGTCACCCGAGGAGGGGGTCACCTTGACTTACCCGTCAGGGAAGTGAAAGCTCGCAGAAAACCCTAACTAAGGCTGCGGGAAGGGACGGAGCAAAGATTAAAATTCAGGCCTGACTCCCAAGCCTGTGCTTTGGGCCACTACTATGCCACTGAACTTCTCCGACAGAATTCCGTTCATGCTAAAGGTGAGACCCCTAACAAAGGTGAAAGGCGAAGTCTCGGAAAGCAGGCCCTATTCTCTATGGAAAAACAAGAGCAAAGTATGGTAGAGAGGGATGTGCACGGGTGGCCGGGGACATCCTCCATCTTACATGAGGCCGGATTCGATCATGGAGAAGAGACATGGGTAACTTGCTTTGCTTCATGACAACTTTGTATGGATCCTTCAAGACCGTGTCCATTTCCTCTTGAAATTTTTGTAGCGATGACTGCTTAATCACACGTGTATTTCCTGTTTTACAAAAGAATGTTGCTGTTTAATAAATAGCTCCTTACAACTTCCGCCTCCATCTTCCCAGGGACACAGTGAAAGGTAAGATTTTATTTATTTCTATTTTTTTAACATCTTTATTGGAGTATAATTGCTTTACACTGGTGTGTTAGTTTCTGCTTCGTAACAAAGTGAATCAGTTATACATATATATATGTTCCCATATCTCTTCCCTCTTGCGTCTCCCTCCCTCCCACCCTCCCTATCCCACCCCTCCAGGCGGTCACAAAGCACCGAGCTGATCTCCCTGTGCTATAAAGGTAAGATTTTAAATTGCCCTCACTCACCCAAACACCTGACACATCCATCCCACGTAGCCATTTTCAAACTTAAAAGAAGGAAAAAACCAGAAAACAAAAACCAAAAAAACTGCCTCTCCTGCACTCATACACTAAGAACTAATCCACCAACCCAGACACACAAAGGGTTTCAATAGTTCTCCAAGTCCAATTCCCTGACTGGATGAAACTGAAAAATAAACATCACTGAATGGAACTGAGATCTGACAAATGTCCTACTTCCTGCTAGATCTGGCAAAGAAATCTGGAGCCAATCACAGCTGATCAGTTAGCATACTCAAGGGAATCCCGAAGCACAGCACCTAAGAGTCACAGCTCTGGTTTTTAGGGTCATTAGGGTTTGAAGGCACTATTAAATTAACCAACAAAGCCCTGCAAAGGAACAAAATGAAACTATATAACACTGCTTGGAGAACACCTTGGAAGTGAGAGATCGTATTCACTAAACAGCGCATTGCAGCACAAATGCCAAACTCAAGGTGAAGACGAACACACTGGCGGGGATGGTGACAATGACAGCTGTTAAAGCTTCTATTGTACTACTTGCTGGACTCTATTCTAGGCACTTTACATAAGAGTATTTATTCATTTAATTACCACAACAGTCCTACGCAATAGGTGCTGTTTTTATCTTCATTTTACAGATGGAGAAATTGATGGGCAAACTTAAGAACCTGACCATGGCCCCAGATATGGCAGAACTAGGCCTCAAACCCAGGAGGTCTAGATCTAGTGTCACCGGACCTTGCCACCATGCTAAAGGCCTCTTGAAGGAGTTCTCTCGGACACTTTTCTGTGCTGTAGTTTCCTAGGGGGTACCAATCCCACCAAGAGACGTACGAGATGTGCAAAGGTAGGCGCCATCTGCCCCCCAGAAGAGAGGTCAAGCAGCAGGCAAAGAATGTCGTCTGACCATCTGATGTGCCCACACAGCTGGCAGTGGCTGAGGGAAAGGCTGAAAGCCCCAACAGAGATGAAGGTGGAGTTTCCAAAGGAAGAAATCCTGCTTCCCCAAGGCCTCTGGAGATATGCTATTCATTCCTGGGAAGGACCAACGAGAGGTCCTTTCACTGTCACTCAGTCCAAATACAACCCCACTAAGAAACAGTGTTTCAGAGGAATTTTAGGCTAAAGGCACAAACACGCCTGCAAGGCACCTCTCAAAGTCACCTCTCCAGGTGACTGGAAATTAGGAGAGGAGAGTTCTAATGAATGCTAGTCATTAAGGATGATCTCATCTGTCTAAGAGGTTCACTCACGGTGAACAATGATGGGCTCTTTTCAAAAAGAAGTCATTTATGGAAGCCACCGCCACGACTTTTCTCTGCACTTTTCCCACAGTGGGGACTTCTTATCTCATCCCTTTCTCATACTGTCCTTGGCAGTTCCCCTCACCCCAGATACCTGCCTCTTATTTTTATTTATTTATTTATTTATTTTTGGCTGCATTGGGTCTTTGTTGCTGTGCGTGGGCTTTCTCTAGTTGTGGTAAGCCGGGGCTACTCTTCACTACAGTGTGTCCAGCTTCTCATTGTGGTGGCTTCTCTTGTTGCGGAGCACAGGCTCTAAGGCGCACGGGCTTCAGTAGTTGTGGCGCATGAGCTTAGTTATTCCGTGGCATGTGGGATCTTCCCGGACCAGGAATCGAACCCGTGTCCCCTGCATTGGCAGGCGGATTCTTAGCCACTGCGTCACCAGGGAAGCCCCCAGATACCTGCCTTTTAGATACCTGAACATTCTACCCTTTTCCATACAGCACACATTTTCTAGGGTAAAAGTAGCAAAGGACCACACTCACCAAACCACTTAATGTTCGGCTCCACTCTCGCCACTGTGCCAGAAGCCACCGTTGACTGATACTGCAGAGGCTTAATCACTTTACCACGGCTGTTCCTGAATTGAGGAAGTAACAGATTTGGGTTGAATTGAGGAAGTAACAGATTTGGGTTGACAACAGAAGTAACAGATTTGGGTTGACAACAGATTTGGCTACAGCAAAGTTGGGTTTACAGAATACGCTTTCCATCAAAAGGACCTCTTTTTTTTTTTCTCCTTCCAGTTTTAAGTGATCATGAAATACAGATTTTGGTAAACAAAAAGTACTTCTACATTCAAAACAGACTGCCCCAAAGCCACTTAACCTCTTGCAACAGAGCATGTAATGATTTCTGCTCGATGAATAACGACTAATGACCATGTTTAAAAATCTGTTTACTGTTTGTTTGCTTTGAAAAAGAAAACTGCATACTTGAGTCTTTTTTGGATAATTATTTGAAGGCTAGTTTAAATGAATTTTAAGTAGAGGGTGATTTTTGCTGGAACTCGAAATTCTAAAACAAACTGCAGAGTAGGTGACTAAGGCAGATTACGTTCATTGACATTTGTGTTTTAGACACATCTTTTAGAACGGATGAAGAATCCAATTACCAAACAAATTGAATAAGACAAAATAAGACCAGGTCGCAAAATGCCACACTCAGCAAGCCCCTGTGGTAGAGGCTGCCTCAGCACATCCGAGTTGTGATGAGTTTCCAAGTGCCACAATGTTGTGATCTAAGGTTTGTCATTAGAAAAAACAAGTTTTCCGGCCGCTTTCATGACACCATCCTACATGCTTTGTTAAAGAAAAGCAGATTTCTATCTGACAGATATGTACCTTGAGATTTAACATGCCATTTGTGTAGGCCGAGGCTGTGAGGAACAAGGCTGTTGTACAGTACAGTGACACAATCACTATTTCACCCCCTACTGCGCATGTCTTTAACCCAAAATTCAGTTTATCATATAAAACGGTATTTGAAAATACACTACTCCTACCTGGGGAAAGTGGGGGTGGGAATATCAAAGGCTTAACAGGTGTCAGCTATAAGTCAAGGGCAGGAAGGGAAGGGGAGAGGACACCAGCGCCCACGCTCACCTGCGCTCCTTCTGCCTGTACATATTCAGGCGTCGGATTGTGGCCCGGTCCCTCATGTTTTGGCCTCCTGCTCCCTCAACTCGATCTAGGAAACACAGAAGTGGAATGCACACTATTTGATAGCCAACAAGTCTAAGTATAGCCATTGCTTCAAACACACCAACTAGTTCACTCAAAGCAGGCAAGCTGCCACCTCACTGCAAAATCTCCACTTTCTCCACGTGTTGCTCCAACAAAATCATTCCTGGAAGCTACATGGTATGACAGAGTTGACCTAATCTGGAACCCTCCGTAGGACTGTGTTTGAAAATGATAGTAGGTAATGTTTCTGAGCACTAATTATGGCACTGTGCTATCCACATTATAGGCATCGTCTCATGTAATCCATGCAACAATCCTACCAAGAGGGATGCATTCTCCCCATTCTGCAGGTTAAGACACTGAGGCTCAGTGGGCAAGCATCTTGTACAAAGATCTTTGTACAAGAGCCAGAATTTGAACAAAAGCATCAGATCACCATCTGTGCTCTTAACCACTAAGACACCTACCTCTGGGTCTCAGTTTAACAAATACTGAGTGCCTGCTACAGGCAAAGCATCACGAAGACTACGATTCTGACACATAAGTGTTCCTAATGTACCAGTTTCTTAATTTCCTAATGTTTGACCTTAGTTTTATCAACAGCAAAATAGGTAGTAATTCTTGCCTTACATCTCAGAGAGAAAGAGAAGGACAAATTAGCATAGTAATACCGGCTTAGCTTCTCATTTGGGGATGCCTTTAAGTCATCTGTCTTGAAGTCATGCAGTAGAAAACAGGCAGAAATCACAGGACTGGCAGCTCTACTGCTCACTACGTGTGCCAGCTGTGACAAGACGCTTCCCCTATTTTGGCTCAGTTCTTCACCTATAACATCATGATCTCTAAGGGCCTCTTCAGGTCTAACGCTGTCAGATCCCAGTCTACACAAACTGAATAACTTATCAGCGGTCCAGGTAAAACATTCAACATGAATTAAAATCAAAAACTTTAGGCCATATTTTAATATGTTTTATTAACTAAACCCAAATGGAAGGGACTCCCCCAGAGGCTATCTTGTTCATTCTGTGGTGGAACCGCAACAAAACTCACACACATCTTCAAAAACATCTTTACTGAAACAATCATACTTACCTGTAGCATTTTCTATGCACTTTACCGGATGCGATGATTCCAAGATTTGAAATCCAAATCATCATGGGATGATTCCAAATCTACTAGCCCTTTCTCATTTAAACGGTCAAAGCTAAGGTGGTAGGCAAGTGTGGCCAAGCGTAAAGGGCCAGCTGGGTCAGGCTACATCACTTTTAGTCTGCCTTTGTCTAATTTATAGTACTTCTAGTAATTCCTTGAGCTGGAGAGCTGGACTCATACAAGACTGAACTATATTGGGGGAGGGGCTTCAACACCTGAAGAGGTCAAATTTAAGTGTCCCTTCCAACTCAGAGCTTCCCAGTCTCTGCACCTCACAGGTGGAGATGCCCCATGGCTGCCAGGCCTGAGTGTTCACTTTCCCGGCTTTAGAGCTGGTGCCTGCCATCTAGCCTTGACAGGCGTGCAAAACTGAGCCCTCCTCAGGGCCTATAAACAAGTAATCATCTTCTCCCTTCTCATCCCCAAAGGCCACTCTGCTTGAGGTCACTCCAAGCAAGGCCACCCGGTGTCCCTCCCTCCAAGCTTCCTCCAAGCCCCACCCTCCGCGAGCCCCGCTGCCCGTACCAGGATTTGTGCTGGCTTTAGAGGGGTTGATGGTGCTCCGTCCTTTGTACTTGGGCTTCACCATCTTGCCGACGGGACGGGGACCGGAGCGTTGGGTCCGGCCTACGTGGGGTAAAAGAGCTCGTAACTTCCCAAGCCGGGAGGAAACAACCCGCCCGATCCTCGCTGCACCGCGTGCGCGGGACTACGTCACTTCCGCTCGCATCCCTTCCTTACCCTGAGCGACTTCCTGCGAACGCGAGGCGCGCGCCGCCGCACTCCAGGCTCCGCCCCCGCCCCGGCCTCTTAGACGTCGCCCTGCGTCGAACCCCGCCCCTCTCTCTCCCTAGCAACCACCAAGCTGCCCTCCGTAGCAACCGCCCAGTTACCCTGGACGCCCGGCCTAGAACTCCTAGTTGGGTCCACCCTCAAATGTAGATGCCTCTTCCCAGGCCAATGACAGAAGGTTAAGTTTAATTATCTTCTGAATTTGTCCTCTAAGCCCTTCCAAAAGTGGCCGACTACACAGCAGCCAAATACCAATGAGATCTTGTCACCCTTCTGAAAACTCCAACAGCATATCATCACTCTCAGCGTTAAAGGAGAGAGAGAGAGAGAGAGAGAGAGAGAGAGAGAGAGGCAGAGAGGGAGAGAAACTGAAACTCCTTGCTATCCCTAAAGAATTTTGCATGATCTGGTCCCTGCCTATTTATTTGACCTCATTTGTACCTTCCACTCTCTGGTTATTCTGACATTTACACTGGGTATTCCTTCTGCCTGAATCATCATCTCCCTAAACCTTGCATAGCTAGTTCCTTCTGGTCATTCAGTTCTCAGCCCAAATGTCACCTACAGGTAGGGCTGCAAAATTTAGCAGATAAAAAACACAGGATGCCCATGGGACTTCCCTGGTGGTCCAGTGGTTAAGAATCCGTGCTTCCACTTCAGGGTCCCGGAGTTCAATCCCTGGTCGGGGAACTAAGATCCCACATGCTGTGCTGTGTGACCAAACAAACAAACAAACAAAAAAGCCAGGATGCCCAATTAAATTTGAATTTCAGATAAACAATGGAATAAGTTTTAGTATAAATATTATCTGTCCCATATAATATTTGGGACATATTTATACTAAAAAAATTCATTGTTTATGTGAAATTCAAATTTGATTGGGCATCCTGTATTTTACCCAGCAACCCTTCCTCCTGGGGGAAGTCTTTCCTGTCTAATCTGTCTAAATCACAATCTCCCATTCTTTTGCAGTTACTCTGTTACAGTATTCTGTTTTATTTACTTCATGGCATTTATTACTAGCTAAAATTATGTTATTTACAAGTTTATCAGCTGCTTCCCCCAAAACTAGAATGTAAGCTTCTTGAGAGCAGGGACCTTGAAAGTTTGTTCACCACTGTGTCTTCAAGACTTCAAAAAGCACTTAGTAAGGACTAAGTCCTTACTACTAAACATAGTAATGACTAAATAAATATTCACTGAATGAAGGAATGAATAGATCGTGTCTTACCTGGTGCTGCTGTAGAAAATGCCATAGACTGAGTGGCTTAAACCACAAACGTTGATTTCTCACAATTCTGGAGGCTGGGAAGTCCATGGTCAGGGTGCCCATATGGTTGGCTTCCTAGTGAGAATTCTCTTCCTGGTTTGTAGACAGCTGTCTTCTCACTGTGTCCTCACATGCTGGAGAAAGAGGGAGTGTCTTCCTCTTCCCATAAGGGCACTAATCCCATCATGGAGGTTCCATCCTCATGACCTCATCTAAACCTAATCATCTCCACCATCACCACCCCCACCCCCACCCACCCCCACCACCCACCCCCGCCGACACACACACACACACACACACACACACCATCACATCAGGGATTAGAATTTCAATACATGAGTTTTAGGAGGACACATTTAGTGAATAGCAGATGGGAATGTCTCTGCATTCCTGCGGGGGAATGAGGGCAGTAAGACCCAGAAGTTTCTGTTTTTACTAGCCAAAGTCAAGTCTCTGGATGTCTGTGTTTCAACCAAGAAGACTCCCTCTTTTTTTGGCACTTCAAGTTGTCAGGAAGTGTCCATCACTGTGCCTTCAGATTAGGTCAGAGAAGAGGTGGTTAGGCCGGAAGAAGGTGGATCCTGGGTGGGGTAGCTTGTTCCATAAAAACAAACAACTTGGTATAAAGTCAGATCCTCTAATTGTGGGAGGGATGATTGGGCCTTTATTTCTCTGAGTCTGAAACAAACAAACCCCAAAACAATCTTTCTAGAGCAAAACCAGGCCATGTCCTAGACAAGAGCGGGAAATACCTTCAGTCCCTTGAGACTCACTTTTATTGCCCCCAGGGCAAGTAAAATGAGCTTAAACACAAGTTTGCTTGAACGCCCTTGACCCTGACATGGTGTTTGAGGAAGTGTCTCAGAGCTGACCAGAAGCAACTTCACACCCAGTGAGGATCCAAAGGTGTCCTCTTCTGCCTCACTCTGTCCCTTTGGTCCCCCAAGCAAGAGTGCCATAGCCGACTTCCGGAGAATAGACTAGGATAATGTATTTCTGATGCCTCAATTTGGTTCAAACCAGAATAAACACGAATGGCAAAAATCAGCCCATGAGCTCATTCAGGCTTTGATCAGTGACATAATTTCATTATGAAATTTTGAATCAGGCTGTTGTGAAGTCTTGCCAAGGAGTTTCATTTTCCCAGATGATATGGCGGGTTGTTTCTCTCCTGTTCTCATACTCAGCTTGTGTTTAACATACGAACTTTCCGTCTATTTTTATAATGTGATCCATCAATTCTTTTACAGCAGTATTTGCTGTCCCCAACAACCAACCTCAGTTCTACCAGCAGATGAAAAGCCTCATCAAGGAAAGTCAAGCTAAAGTTATTGGTTTGGTTTGCCTGCCCTGCTTATCGTATGTGTAATATATTTTTCACATATATCCTTCCTCACGTCTTGGTGATCAGAGGAGGCATGACATACCTCCAGGCCTATAATTTCTCAGCTTTAAAACTGACATATTCATTTAACTACCCAGAAAGACTGCAGTGTAGTCATATGAATTATGGTACATGAAAGCATTGTATACCCAGTACACACCATGTAGATGGGATGCTTTCTCTTTTCCTCCAGACCCAGGGTTAGCTTCTCACTCCCTGGAATCTTGCTCCTAGTAAGCACAGGTGTGTGTGAATGGGAAGATCCCAACAGGAATAGAGCAGAAAGGTGGTTCAAAATGCCAAACTTTGTGCCAAGTTCTGATAGGAAAGAATGAACTGGTGTTTTCACAGGAAGCAGAGAATCTTGACCTGACTTTCCTTCTTCATTCTGTAAAAACTTTTTCATTGGGATCTAACGGACAAGTAGCAGCAGCTTCTAAAGAGATGTTTTGTCAAAGTGTGATCTGAGGGCCATCAGCATCAGAAACACTTGGGGGAGTTGGTAAAAAATGCAGACTTTTGACGGGCTTCCCTGGTGGCGCAGTGATTGAGAGTCCGCCTGCCGATGCAGAGGACACGGGTTCGTGCCCCAGTCTGGGAAGATCCCATATGCCGCGGAGCGGCTGGGCCTGTGAGCCATGGCCGCTGAGGCTGCGCGTCTGGAGCTGCAACGGGAGAGGCCACAGCAGTGAGAGGACCACGTACCGCAAAAAAAAAAAAAAAATGCAGACTTTTTTTTAAATTGAAGTACAGTTGATTTACAATGTTGTGTTAATTTCTGCTGTACGGCAAAGTGACTTGGTTATACATATATAGACATTCTATTTTATATTATTTTCCATTATGGCTTATCACAGGATATTAAATATAGTTCCCTGTGCTATCCAGTAGGACCTTGTTGTTTATCCATTCTATATGTAACACTTTGCATCTGCTAATCCCAAACTCCCAGTGCATCCCTCCCCCACCCCACCCCTGGTAACCACACGTCTGTTCTCTGTGTCTGTGAGTCTGTTTCTGTTTTATAGATAAGTTCATTTGTGTCATATTTTAGATTCCACATATAAGTGATATCATATGATATTTGTCTTTTTCTGATTCACTTCACTTAGTAGGATAATCTCTAGGTCCACCCCTGTTGCTGCAAATGGCATTACTTCATTCTTTTCATGGCTGAGTAATATTCCATTGTGTACATGTACCACATCTTCTTTATCCATTCATCTGTCGACGGACATGTAAGTGGCTTACGTGTCTTGGCTATGATGAATAGTGCTGTTATGAACACAGAGGTGCATGTATCTTTTTAAATTATAGCTTTCTCCAGATGTATGCTCAGCAGTGGGATTGCTGGTTCATACGGCAACTCTAAAAAATGCACTCTTGCGCTTCACCCAAGAGCTACTGAAATCTGACCCTCTGGAGGTGGGGCCCAGATAACACACGTTTTAAAGAACTTCTCAAATGATTCCTGGGTACACAGAAGTTTGAGATCTGAAGAGCAAAGTCTTTCCCCAAAGTCCCCCTGAGGCTTTCTGATGAGCTGACTGGAAGGCAGTCCTAGTAAGACCCAGCTCCTTTCCCACCTATCTTAGATCCTCTCTTTTCCTCTCAGTAGAGCCAGGGTGAGGAAGGCTGCAGCAGTGTCTTGCGCACTCTAAAAATATATGTCTTGGCTCTGCCCCAAATGCCTTGATATTTATGCTGCAGCCTGAGGGTCGTTATCCTTTGGCAATGATCCATTGCAAGGCCATTTGCTCTTAGTTAGTGCCAGCTTGTTGGCTTAGCCTTCCCGGTTGAACTGAGAGCAGAGCCTTCTCTATTCAGTTTCCTGTGTCTCTCTGGCAAGTACTGATGAAGTGACCCCTGCCTGCTGGGGCCAAGAGCTGGGCCCCTGGAGTGGCTGCTTCTCAGAGTGAAACAGTTACCAGCCCCAGGATCCTGGAAGAACAGAGAAGCACTCGGAATACATTTTTAGAGTTTTGTTACATTTGTAGACAACAAAAAGAGACAGTCCTTGTTCAGACAACCTCAACAGGGAATACAAAAAAATAAGGTGTGTTCAATTGGAGCTTCATGGACCAAACTGCTATCAGTTTTCAACCCAGGATGCCAGGGAAGTTTTAGACAAGCTTATAGCAAGCTGATGGGCTGGGTGGCTATGGAAAGGTATCAAAAGCAGAGAGATTCACCCCCTGGGAACCCCAAGAAACTTCTCTTCATGTATCTGGTCACCACTTCTAAGTGGGAAAAACAGAGTCTATATTGGTCTTGGCATTCATCTCATTGCTGGGTAAGGAGCTCTT